CATTTAAACTATGAAAATTATGGGGTCAGTTTGACTTCATCTTTTTCAAAACTAATTTTTTTTTAACGTCCTTCCGAAGCGGGCAACGGGATTTCAATTCCGATGACCGACAGCTTCTTACGGACAAACTCCACACCAAAAATAGTGCCGACAGTTACCAATCATGTTCTCTATCTTTAACATATGGAAGCTCTTTGCAATGAGAGGAGGGGTACCTCCCTAGGACTCCCTTTTGCCAAAGGCAGGGGACAAATGCTTTCCATCAGTAGAGCTTCACATCAAACAACTGCTTCAGTTAAACACCAAAGAGGATCATCTTCTTGGGGTGGAGCATCGCCGTGAGCGATCTCCCTGGTTGGAGGACAAATCAAAGTGAAGTCTGGTGGTAGAACTTGCACGGCCGTCGCCAGTGGGACTATAGTTAAGCCAGATGCTATCGAAGCGGTATAGGTTCTAAAACATTCTCACCTTTCTGACTCTGAACCTTTATAATTGGTTTCAAATAGAATGATTCCCTATCCTCTTCTAGATTTGACTTCTTTGTTGTCTGTAGTTTAATTGATTTGAATCCTTCAGGCTTGGTCCCATAAGTCGACCTTTTGGTACCAACCTTTTTTTCTCATTTTCCTTTCTCTTCTCGGTCGGTTGGGCCTATTCATCCGCCCTTTTCTCTTGTACTGGACAGGAACTTTCAAGTTTTCTTTCTTTCATCCTAGAAGGGAAAATTTTTGAAGCAGAATGCCCAAATGCCATCATTAATGCTTCCTCAATCACCAAAATTTTTGCACCTGACATATTTGTTCGCAGATATGACTGACTAAAAGGTAGAAAATTTAGGAAATGAGAAAAAATAAATGTGAATTTTGCACCCCATTTATAGGAAAAAGTTACACGAAAATCAAGTGAGTATATATATTAGCAATATTCATTATTCATTAAATGAACAATTATATTATTTAATTCTCTTATTCTTATGAAAATTTCACTTTCAATGAAATATGAGAATCATGAAACCAATTATGTACCTTAGAAATATGCCAGCACGAATCTCGAGAAGATACGATGGACCACACAAAGAGGATTGATGTATGAACATTGCTTATCATACCAATTGACCTTTGAAGTCGACCGAGCCGACCCAATGAACATCGTGTGATCACGTCAAGGCCTACGCAACCAGCATATGCCATTATAAACATCAACAATCACTCAGAGGGGATTCCTTCAATATAGACACATTGACCGAAAGTAAGCTGTCTGTCACATTACGATAATACGACCTCGATCTGCCTGATAGAATCAATATGCGACGGGCAACATTTTATATTTACCTATGTGTTTTTAAATTCCATTAAATTGGACAAATTCATAATTGAGAGAAAATGAATTAAAGACTGAATTTCAAATACAACATTATTTTGCGTCCAACTTCAAGTTTTTTTCAAACAAACAATTGAATTTTCAAAAACTTTACATTAGGAATGCAATGCAGTGCTACTGTTGCTAATCAAGAAACCTGTAACTAACCTCTATTGAATCTTCAAGATAATCTCGAAGATTAATATCGGAAGAAAATAAGTGAAAAGTTAAAGGTAGCTCAAGGCTCATTGCATTTTTTAAAAGGAGCAATTACATACACACCTCACAAAACTTGCAATTTATAAATCAACTACTCTCTTTCATCCATTTTTCAAATTCTCACTCAAATATCAAAATTGAAGGTAAAACCCCAATCTATATTTTTCATTTTTTCAAATTCTCAATACTTTGGTCTTGACACATATAAATATATTGGTTAGGAAGTTTAAAAAAAAAAATCTTGACGGTTAATTTATAATTATCAATATTTCGTGTGGTTTCTATACAATTATCTCTTTTTAAAATCCTTAAATCATTATATATATAATGCAATATTTGAACAAAATCTTATATAATTAAATACACAAGGATTTTTTTATCTTTATATTCTCTTATAGCAATACAGCAATATTCTCTTATATTTTAGTTCCGTTTTATGTTTCAAGCTGTGGAGGGGCATTCCACAGTGAATTTTCTATTTGGATTTCCAATTGATTTTAGTGGAATTTTTAGCTATGATTGAATCATTTTCTGGAATTGTTAATTCTGAACGAATTTTAATTATTTTGACTTTTTATTCTCATTTTCTTATTGCAACGAGGTGATTATGTAATGTACGTTTACGGTGGTTTGAACTTCACCCTACAATCTTAGAAAAATAAAAATAAAAATAAAGCATCAATGCCTTAAATGCGGGCGGCCCCACCAATCCGAACCTTTTCACTAAATACAATATGATGCTGCATTTATACGCGTCCTCTGAATTTGCCGCTTTCCTTTTCCAACAGAGGAATTTGATAAGAATTCTAAACCCCCGAGCTTCGGTGGCATTCAAGAAGAAGAATCAGGTAATTCAAGCGGACGGAAGGGATCGGATTGCGAGCTTTTTGAAAAGGAGGTGGCCGTAATCGAACCAGATACGCTTCTCCTTGGTCTCTCTCTCGTCCACATTCTCTGTAGGACGTCGTATCGAATAAGCCTTCTGCGATCTTACTTTCGCCAAAACCTGAAGGTGGCTATAAATTCCCTGTTTTCATTTTAACATCTCATTCGCCTTCTCGTTGCGAATGCGAAGACCTAGTAGGTTTTTTTCATTTGTTGCTGTCAAATTTGATCGAGAAGTATTTTATTTATTTATTTATTTTTGGGATTTCTCCTTTGTGTTCAGAGACTGGAAACTGCAAAGAGGAACAGGATCCATGGAGGGAAGTGGCGCAGGAAATGGGTTTGGGTGCAGCAAGGCGATAGAGTTGAATGGAAGCGGGAAGAAGGTTGAGAAACCCATTCCTCCTTGCTGCAGGAAGGCGATGGCTGCGCTGCCTGAGGCGGAAGCGAAGTTGCATGCCACAGTGGTATCGGGATGGTTCTCTGGACATTGGTGCCGCTCTGGTCAATATCTGTTTACTTTTGGCCGTTTTATTTAAATTTTGTATAAATTTGATGATATTCTTACAAGTTTTTTGTAAAAATAACTGTAGATAAAAACACCAAGCCTCTTTATTACAACAATCCGATGTGGCCTGGTAAGCTTTTTCTCAATATGCTGCTGTTTTTTCGTTTTATAGAATACATAGGTTAATGCGTTAAGGATAAAATTTCTAGCCGATTCTGGATTGCCAGCTGTTGGATATTTTTCGTTTCAGTTTCTGAGAGTTTTTATGTTAGAAACTGACGTTGGTTAGTAAACCTTTTTGGCTGGTACTGATTTTGGTTAGGCATTGCCAAATAGCAAGATACGTTATAATTGAAATGCAGATATAGAAGTTATTCCACTTTGTACAACAAGACCAAAGTAGGTTATGGCTAATGTGGTGTTCATTGGCCTTATTCCCTAGTTACTCCTTGAATAATCCACAACTGAATATCGTCCACTCATTTATTTAAACCTAGTTCTCACTCAGCACTGCAATGAATTCTATACCACTGCTTAAGGAATTCCGTCTAACTTTAATGTTTAATATGCATCATAAATCTTGTATGTTTCCTTTTGTAGTCATTCCAAATGGATTTAGGCATATTGATGGATCTGTTTGATTCAACCACCATAATTTACTGCAATGAACAACCTAACACTGAATTTAATTGAAGAAAGATTAAAAAATCTTTAGCGTGTTGAGAGGATTGGGAAAGTAGTTCCTATTCAAAAAATACTCTTGTTTGGATGAGCAGGGAAGGGAAGTTAATCTATGAAATCTACCATATATCTCATAAATTGGGGATTTGAACCCAGATTTCTAATGCGCTTTTTTGTAGCTATAACATCTCCATAGCAACCCTAGCTAATGATGCATGATCATATCATATAGTAACGAGAGATTTCAAGCTAGATTTTGATGAAACCTTCAAAAAAAAAAAAAAAAATCTTCTGATCCCATGTTGAATGTCCTTATTTTGATATTTTGGTAGAAAAAATTACTTGTTGCCAGGAAGGCCTGCATATGTTATGGTACTTTGCAGATTATAGGTTATTTCTATGTTCTTGAATTTATGCTGAGCCGTTTAACTTATATTTTTTGTTCTTACTTGATTCAATGGATTTTCTTACCGGAGTTTTATGTGCTAAAATAGCTTCTGTTGAATGAATTGAAATAGCTTGCAGGCCATCTTCTCAAAATTTTCCACTTATTTAAAACAAATATTTTTTCTCATTAATGAGAACATTATTGCAACACATATGTAATCTAGATTTTTTTTTTGAAATTTCATTATAGCACTTCAAATTATAAAAACTGGCATTTAAAAAAGTGGCATTCGAAGCTATAAGAAGGTGTTTTTAATCGACAGTGCAATAAACCTATTTACTTATTTGATTTCTTTTGGTAATTATGCTTCAACCACAATTGGAACGGCGAAGTTTTGCTAGCATTACGGATCATTATCTAATTTATTATTTCATGTATCTTAACATAGATAAACATTATTGACTACCTCCATGGCAGGTGAAGCACATTCCTTGAAGGTTGAAGAAATTTTATATGAGGGGAAGTCAAAATACCAAGAGATACTAGTTTTTAAGGTTTATAAATGTACCTTTTTATACATACTACCTCCCTGATTCATGCACTATTTCTCTCCTGTTGGCTTATACTGATTGAGTGTCTGATTTGCAGTCCCTAATATACGGAAATGTGCTTGTACTAGATGGTATTGTCCAGCTCACAGAAAAAGATGAAAGTGCATATCAGGAGATGATTGCCCACCTTCCTCTTTGTTCAATTTTATCCCCAAAAACTGTATGCAATTTGTTTAAGAACATAATTTTTTTTTCTATTGGGTTGCTAGCTTTCACTTTTCATCGCTTCACTCTCATTCGTATCTATTTCTTGTAGAATTCCATTGGATATAATTCAATGATCTGCCTTTTGATTTTAAACTAATCTGAATAACTAGTTTCCGATATTTTTCATGATCTTTGGTTTTTGTAGGTCACTAAAGTTGCTCAATTACTCCCAGTGTTGGTATTGGCATTCTAAGTTACACATGTTATGAACTTTTGTCTATGTTTTGTTAAAAAAAATTAAAAATCCACTTTTTCTAAATTTATGCCTATGAATGCTATACTAACTCAAAAATGATGTGGATCAGAGGAACGAAAATTATCTTATTGATTTGTAAGAGTTTTTATAAATAGTCATACATGATAATATAATGATTAAAGAAATGAATGTAAATTATTCCACCTCAACTATGAAAATATCTATTAATATAATCTCCTTCCATTTTTAGGAATCCTATCTAGTAAAGCAATAGATTATAAATTATTGAACACTTCAACTACTACCTTCAAGCCAATAAATTTATATCTATGAGCTCTAGCTTGCTATATAAATGAAAAACTGATAGGTTTCTTAGAGTATTGATGATAATATTTGCTGCTAGTTTAAATTGGAGATATGAGGAGTTACATTTTTCCTTGCAAAGCATAACAACTTATATGAAATGCTAATCTAGTTTAATATGTTTAATTGATTCGTAAAAAATATCATAATAGGTTATATAGATTGCAACATGATCATTATAGTATAAAATTATTGGTCAAGTAACATTTGCCTGTCTATATATGTGTGTGTGTACATATGCATGTATACGTACGTGTGTATGTACATATTTACATATATATGTATGTCACAGAGAGAGAGAGAGAGAGAGAGAGTGAATTTTTAATTCTCCTTTTTAATTTTTCATTTTTTGAAGAGTGTTTGTTAATGTATTTCTACCAGTGAATTGTGTGCGTGAGAGAGTGAGAGAGAGAGAGATTTGAAAAGTATTTTTTTAATGCACCTTTTTTGAATTTTGCATATATTTGAAGAGTGATTTTTTAATGCATATTTTTTGAATTTTGCATTTATTAATGTCAACTCTAGCAGTGAATTGTTGCAATTGGTAGCAATAAGATAAATCAACTCACAAACAAATGTATGATATTTAGACAAATCTTTAGAACATTGTTATCATCATTTAGGGTGTGTCTCCATAGGTTTATCAATAAGCATACAAATAATATGTTTATTTCAAAGAGGAAAATAATCTACTTTTTAAAAAAGAGATTACAATTTTACAGTAAGCAAACTCAATTATAAGTAACTAAAGTCGCTCTTAATTCTTTTGATAGAGCGCTTTTGAACATGTAGTTTCTTACTTCTGTCACTTTCAATTAGGTGTCACCAACATAAACAAGCATGATTGATTTTGCAGTACGTTTGATGAATTTAGAGTGATTTTTAGCGGTGTAAAAGTTGAACTTGAGCGAGTCAAAGGCTTGTTCGTGTTCAATTATTATTTTTTGTTCGTGTTTTACTCGTGTTCGAAATACTTTGTAAATTGCCTGTTTGTGTTCGGCTCGATTCAAACTCAATTGTTCGATTTAAGCTCGTATTCACCCAAATTTAAACTCAAATTATATTTCAAAAGTTAATTTTTGTTTTAAAACATTTTAAATCCGCTTCACAGAAAACACGCGAAGCCAAAAACCTTTTATTCTCTCTTTCACTTTTACATTTATATTGGATTGATAATGGAACCTTTTACAATGTTCCGATGTGGGACTAAACTAAATAAGTTGAGGTGACAAGCAGTCCAGGCACGGGTCTAAATTTTTTGGGATTTACGTGTATGTCACCAAATTCTTATGTATTTTCATACATAACACCTCAACATCAAGCTGCAAGCAAGATGCTTGGGAAGAAGTTGTGGTCGATTTACATACATGCCACCCAATTCTTATGTATTTACATATCTGCCATCTATTTTCTTAATCTTAGGGGCATTTACATAGAGACCACCCAATTCTTATATATATTTACATATCTAAGATCAATTTTTTTTATATTTATATAAACCAAATCTTTGATTTCATATCAAAGGTATAATTAGTTTGAAATTTATGCATTATTTATTTATTATTTAACTAATTCGAGCCTAAAAGAGCCAAACATGATCAAATAAACGTTTTTATGTTCGACTCTTTTGCTTAATGAACGAATCAAACACGAGCTACTTAACAAGCCAAACACGAATTGATTGCGAACGATTGGCTTTTTTGACAGCCCTAGTGCTTTATATTGTTGCTTTAAAGTTGAATCTCATCCAAGGCTTTGCATAATTTGTCAAACCATGTTTATATAAAACCATGGAGGTTGCCCTATATAAATGACTTCTTATAGGACACCATAAAGGAAGGTAATATTTACATCTATTTGTTTTATATCATGAACTCTAATTGATGGTTACAAACAAAAAGATTCAAGCATAGTTTAGGCATGCAATTAATGGATAATATATTCCTTTGGAAACAAATTGAGATTTTTTACTGAGAAATAGCCTCATCAAGATAAAACTTGATAAACAATACTCACGGATAGGTAATGAGTGTTACCTGAGGTGGGAGGCAACCAAATCCCAAGTATGATAATTGAGAAGAGCATCTATTTCAATGTACATGACTTGTTTATATAAAGGATATTTGGTGCATCTTAGTGTCTTAAGAATTGATACAAATGATATTAATATGACGAGTTTATAATCAATTATATCAATATAAGAGTGGATAAGATAAGCAATATGTTGCCTTTTACCTTGTATAAGAGCAATAGGAAAGATGTAGGTTAAATGTCTCATTAGCTATTGGATGATCAATTGAATATTACAATGACGTAGATCTTATCATTGGTGGAGGTTGGAATGATGAGTGTATACATGTAACAATGCATAGGTAGGAAAGCGAAGAGGAATATGAGGGCAAGGAGGGCTCTGAATCAGAGGAGGGAGAAAACATTGGCAGTCTTATGAAGGTCACATCTATGGAGATTTGTATTTGTTGTTTAAGTAGATCATAATACTACTAAACTTTATGAATATGAGAATACTTCAGGAAGATACTTTAAATAGCATGGGGAAAATTTTTTTTTTGTATGTTGAATGCATGAAGTAGGTATAACCCAAGGCTTGTGGGTGTTAAGGTGAAAGTTGATAAGGGGTCAATGAGAGTAGAAGTTTTTTAGGTTTGTTCAAAAATAGGAGTATAGCCAAATCTCATCCAGCATTGTTTCAATGGATGAATGGTACGACCATAAAGAGAATAGGTGGAAAGGATTTCCTCTTTTGCTCTCATCACACATCTAAGTCTAGTATTAACACGACGATAATAAACACAACCTTCACTAAGATGCATCATGGGTAGTGTACTCAAAGAATGGCGAAAGAGACTGTAGTTTGATGGCGTGAAGAACTCCTGAGAAGAGTTGCAAAATTAATAATTTATAGAATCGATCATCAGCTAGGATTGTTTATGTTGAATAGAGAGCTGAATGTCAAAGAGAAGCTTTCTAACCATGAACTCTTCATTTTGTAGTCGCCAAATCTTTGGTTCAATGCTAAAAGATTTGTAGTAAAGTAATTTATCCTACCTACCCGCATGGTGTTGTGATGGTTCTGAATAAACATTTTTTTTTCTACAAAGAAAATATGTTTGTTTATGAAGGGTAGAGCTTGGAGATGTTTTTTACTTGAAAATAACTGCTTTTAGAAAGTGCTGCATAGCCTTGAAAGCCTTATGAAACATGGATGTGTGAGAATGATGGAATCAAATGGTTATCATTTGGAGAACTTAACAACATCATCATGTGTGAGAGGAGATCAAGAAGAGGTTTTCACGCGAACCCGACGTAAAGATGATTGGACCCTCAACTATATAGGAGGTATCTGATATCATTGAACTTGATTGAGGTACAAATGGTGGAGGGTTTCACATCATATAGAGAAGATAGATTGATCATGATAATGTGAAAATAGGACATGAAAATTAAAAATTAGTCTTTATATCATTGAGGTGGATCTTGGCCTAAATAATTGTCAAAGGTGAATGAGACATGGAGAATTGAAGTAGCATTTTTTGGTAAATGAGAAAACATAGGAACCCAAAAAAAGAGGTTAATTCTTGAGTGTGTGACTTAGGTTAGTGTTATGCCAATGCTTAGCCTAAGGGCAAGTTTGTTTTTTGTATGTCTAAGGGTAATTTAATCTTTTTGTATTATTAATGTTGGGTATTAATATGTTTATCATACACATGCTACTGAACTCCGATTCAACCAATGTGGGAAACAAGTCTGGATTGCGGTGGTAGCACAAGGAAGCGAATTCGGGATCACGGTGTGCCTTGGCGCTGTTTGAGTACTGGGAAGCTATTGATGAGATTTCAGTATATAGTAGTTCTTTTGTGATAGAAATTCATTCAAGACAAATGACAACCAAGAAAGTTGACGAGTTGGAGAATAAATTAGAGGAAAAGATGAACCAACTTAATTCCGCAATGGAGGAAAGGTTTGCAAACATGGACAAAAGGCTTTCATCCATTAAAAACTGTTTTGAGCGCTTGGAGGAGATGATGGGAAGGCTTATCGAGATGCAATTCAAGACCTTACCAGCGGTGCAGTTTCAAAACCTAATCAAAGGTTGATCGAATATTCATCGGCTAAATCGAAAGGGAAAAAGATTGGATGAGATGAACAGGGGATGAAAATATCCACCATCAAGAATCTCTTCCCAGGGCTTAGATGGGGGTGGATAAGTGATTTCTGATGGAATTAGTTGGGTCGAAACATGGAGAGGGGTTATGGGAGGGAGGAGCATGAAGAAGAAATAAGAAAAGCTGGGATGTGGTATCATTATGATCGAAGGAGGGAGTTTTGCCCTCGATATATGGGAGAAAATAACGGAGGGAGAAGAAGTTGAGGTGGAGATGCTAGGGTTAGGAAGTTGAATGTGCTGATATTCGAGGGGGAAGGTGCACATGGGTTGGTGTACTGGGTGGAGCGATATTTTGCGGTGAATGGGCTAAATGGAGAGGAGAAGCTCATGACAATAGGGTTATGTTTGGAGGAGAAAGCCCTAGCATTTCAGTGGAGGGAGGCTAGATATCCGATCTGTTCGTGGGAAGAATTTAAGGATTGTTTGTTAGAACGTTTCCGAGCCATTCAGGAAGGAGATCCACACGAGCAATTCTCTGCCTTGAATCATGAGGGGATCGACCTGAAATATATGGAGAGATTCGAGCTATTGTCGGGACGATTGAAGGGTATTTCTGAAGCAGAATTGAACGGGGATTTTTGAAGGGCCAAATGCTCAACATAAGGGCATCACTCCGACTATTTTGACTGCGAGGATCGAGGGAGATGATGAAGCTAGCTTAGATGGTGGAGGATAAAAACTAGATGAAGAAGGCCAACAGGAGCAACACAGATGGAGTGTCGTACCAAATTGCTACAACTATGACGATATCAAAAGCTCAAACAGTGGAAGTTTAGAGGGATGTTGCATGGAAATAGTAATAGGCGACCATCGGGAGCGACACTCAAGCATCATACAAATACAAAGATTCAAGAGAAGCGAGCTAAGGGGTTATATATCCTGTGTATGATAAGTTTACCCCAAGGCATTGTTGCAAGGATCGAAAATTACAAGTTCTTGTAGTGTGTGATGAGGATATTGAGGATAAAATAGAGACAACTGTGGCGAAGGAGGATAAGCACTCACTTTTTCCCACTTTGAGAACAATGTCTTTTAGGAGGGTATATTATTACGCTGTGCTTAGCTTGAAGGTAAGTTTATCTTTTGTATGCCTAAGGGCAATTTTGTCTTTTATTATTATTATTGTTGTTCGACTTAAATAGGCTAAATATGTTTAGGGTTGGTGGTATGCATGAGATTGTTGTTGTGAGTATTAGATTTAGGATTTGTGAGAGATTTCCCATATCTCGAATTGTAGGAATTGGAAGAGATCGCCTATCTCTCAAATTCTAGTTGTTTATTTTTTACGTATTTGTATTGAATTGCTTTGATTTGGTGTTTGAGTAATAAAATTTGTGTTTGTTGTAACTCCTGTGGATTGTATCGGCTAGTCTCAAGTAATGCGAGGAAGTGGCACATTTGTAATGCAACATAGAAGTTGAGGGGGGTTGCAAATGAACTATGACGGAATGTGGAAGTGAAACATGGAATTCAAAACATGGATTATGATCTGGTGTGTCGAGATGCATTGGAGAAGCACATACAAGGTTTGTAGGCGTGTGCATGAGGATAAATGATACAAGGTGGGGTGACGGAGGATAGAGGTGTCGGTTGTCGCGAACGACATTTGTGAGCGAGCATGGTGGTAAGCAAGGCAATTTACTTGGGTTGAAATCGGTCAAGAATCAGCAGGCATGCTGAGCTGCCAGGAGGATTGGATTCGGGAATATGGGTTTGGGATTAATCAGGAAAGCAATTAGGATTTTGCTTCTTTGAAACCATAGGTATAAAGAAATTTGTGTTTTATTGAGTTTTAATTGTTCTTATAAATATGCGCACATGAAAATACAATCATGAAATAAATAACTGCAAATTAAACTCTTAATTATGATGACTTAAATTTAATTTAGCTTCATTTCATTATTAGGAACTGTATGTCAACACTATGCATCAACCATATGTATGCTAGATATACATGCGAATAGGTGCTCCTTTTATTTTTTATTTTTTCGGAAATCATCATCACAAATGTTGATCCTAGCTTTATCAAAAGCTCACTAGAATTCTACAAGAAGTTTGTTTATCTTTTTGATATTCTATTTCTCCAAACACTAACAAGACAAAAGCTACATACATAAGACTTGTGCATGCTCTCTTTATTTGCATTGATCAATGGATTCTTCTTGAATGGAATGATGCCTTTACCGACTGAATATCGACACTTTGTTGTCCATCACATAATGGTTAGTGCTGTATTTGCACGCATGCATGAACAAAATATGGCTTACTATGATAAAATGCCAGGATACTAGAAGATACAAATAATTTTCTGGTACATTCGAGTAAAACATGTGCTTAATATTTAGCACATTTTCTAGACGGCTGACTCTGAAAATTGATTTAAAAACACTTTAAATCTGGCTCTTTTTCCCCTCATTTTAATGAGGTGGGATGTGTCATTGGGTTAATTGTTTGATATAACGAACAACTTACCGATCAATTGAATCTTAAGTACTTAGCTTATAGTAATTATATGTGACTCCTGCAAGCAGTTACCAAAAAAAAAAAGGTAATTAAGCAGCATTTCTGTTGTATATTCTTCTTCTATACACCTATGTCACCCTATTGGCTAGAAGCCAGAATTGGGCTCAACTGAAGATGGACTTTTGTCAAAGCAATATTTATTTATAAAATGTGACTAGCTTCTCGGAAACTTTTTAACACCTTTTATTGAGTAGTTGGATTTGAATGGAATGATGTCTTTACCAACTGAACATCGGACCTTGTTGTCTTTCATGTAAGGGTTAGTGCTGTATTTGTACGCATGCATGACCAAAGTATAGCTTACTATGATAAAATGCTAAGATACTAGAAGATACAAAAATTTTCTTGTACATTCAAAAAAGAGATGTGCTTAATATAGCACATTTTTTAGATGGATAACTCTGACTATTGCTTAAAAAACTCTTTAAAACAGGTTCTTTTCCTCAACATTTTAATGAGGTGGGATGTGCCATTGGGTTAATTGAATCCAAAGTACTTGGTTTATTGTAATTGTGCGACTCTTGCATTGTGTGTTTATAGAACTTGAGTATTTAATTAGAAAAAAAATCGAAATTAAGCATATTTTTTGCTCTATATTCATCCTGATGTGGGCTTAACTGAAGATGGACTTATGTCAAAACAATATTTATTTATAAAGTGTGACAACTTTATTGAAAACTTTTTAATTCAGTAGTTAGATTTCCTTGATGGAGACTATATTATAATAATGCTGTGTTGTTTGGTTTGATATAGGGTTGCAAGTGATTTGTTTCATCCTTGACAAGATTGTGATGATCCAGGACAAGGGGTCTTATTATAATGCACCATCCTATAATACTGCATCAGTTTGTTTCTATTTTAATTGGAAATTATTTTTTTTATTTTTTTATTTTTCATAAAGTAGGCTATTCTTATTGGCTTTGTTTTATATAACTTGGTTTTAGGTGTTCTAAAATTAATCTCTTCTCCAACCAGCTTCTTTTTAGAAGACAAGGTGGTGATTTCCTTTTTCTTTTATTCCAGTTGGCTACATTATAAATAATTAATGTCATGTTCTTGGTAATGATAATGATTGCTAAATTTTGACACTCAATTTCCTTTTGTCTTGGTTATGATAACCTTTTCTTATTGGCTTTATTTCGTACAGTTTGGTTTGTAGATGTTCTAAAATTAATTTCTTCCAACCAGCTTTTTTTTAGATGGCAAGTTGGTGATTTCCTTTTTTCGTATTGTAGTTGACTATAGTATAAATAATTAATGTCATGTTCTTGTTGAGGATAGTCTCCATTAATGATTACTAAATTCCACATTCAATTTCCTTTTGTCTTTTTTAACAACAAGTTAATTCTTTGATTATAGTGAAATTGGTTTTCACAGGTATTGGTCATAGGAGGTGGCGATGGTGGTGTTCTGCGGGAAATTTGTAAACACAGTTCGGTGGAGCACATTGATATATGTGAAATAGATGAGCTTGTCATTAGTGTAACAGCTTTAATATATATATTTGTCTTTTTATTTTTTTTGATATTGATGCCTAGATATTGATGAGATGTTCTAATCTCCATAGGTTTGCAAGGAATTTTTCCCTGATATCTCTATTGGTTTTGAAGATCCTCGTGTTCAACTTCATGTTGGTGATGGTATGCTAAAGAAGTTTGATTCTTAGATTGATCTTGCATTGATTTTTCACTCTTTCTTGAACATGCTTGATTATTTTCTTGTTTAAATATTTCTATTGATTTCAATTCCAAGGAAACTTTGTCAGATATCAAATAGTGATATATGAAGATTTCTGTCTTGCAGCTGTTGATTTTCTGCGAAATGCATGTGAAGGGATGTATGATGTAATTATTGTAGACTCATCTGACCCTATAGGTACTACGAATTTTTTTTCCGCATATTTTCAATTGTTTACTTTTTCTAGAAACAGTTGCTGACCATATAGGCATTACGGATTTCTTTTCCTTTACATACATGTTTTTATTTTTTTTCTTTTTTGAAAAACAATTGCTGGGGGCACTGCTGGGAATTGGGGGCTAGAATAGAACTCCAGTTTATTTTGAATTTTATGCCCGCTTGAGCGATAGAAAAGATAAGAGGATTTTTCATTGTTTGCTCCAATAGTGGCTTGAGTGAAAGATTCTGCCATTTTGTATTTTGGCATGCTTATGTTTAATGCAAACTATCGGTGATTTAGCTTCCTAGAGCTTATTTTATCGTTAAGAAACTGAAAAAAGGAAAGGGCAATAATATGCGTCTTATGCATATTGAAAATTAGGTTTGCAATTTTCTACAATTTATAGTGAAATCTTCAATGTTGACAGAAGTAGCCATCAATTGAGTGAACCTGCATAAAATTATGATGTTTTTTTTATTAATATTCATTCATTATTTTTTGTCGATTCATCATTTTTGTTTTCAAAGTTTTGCCTATTTCCAGACATATCATCTTCACAATTTTTGCATGGTGTTATTTCTACCATATATACAAAGAGATGTAAGGATAGTTGTAAACTATAATCCATTTATGATTGCTTGGAAATTGGCAGTTCTATATCCAGGAAAAGGACAGCGCTGGACTTCCTAGTGAATTTTTATTGACATTAACTGTTTTAATTTATTGTAGAAATATATTAGTCACCTTACTAGGAGGAGGCTAGAAAATGTTGAAGAAAGCCATTTTCTGAAGCTTGGTGATGTAACTGTTGAGCCAAATAGGAATTGACTATTTAAGAAGATATTAGGTGGTGAGTCTATGAGTAATGCATGACTGTAGCATCTTGATGTGTTTATTGTTATTGCTGCCACTATTGCTACTTGCAGGATTCAAGTGTGCTTGTCTTTTTTGTATTATTTGTTGTTGTTTGTGTCGGCCAAAATATTGGAAAATGATTTAAATTTAATTTAATATATTTGTATGTAATTTTGATTTTTTTTTTGAAAAAATATTTTTTTTTTGAAATAAATGAGATCGAATATATCGCATATATCTGATAGTTTAAATGGTTGAGCCCGATACCACAAGTAATACACCATCGCGAGGGATAAACATATCACTTGTAAGTAGACTTACCCATTTAAACTAGAGAGTTTGTGACATTCGTTTGGTCTGCGAACCTTTTATGTATGACCGACAAATTCTCCTACCTAATATAGAGATTAGATATAGTTTATTTTATCTGGATTTTTAGTTCCTTATAGAAGCAATCCTTTATAGTTAATTACATCTTAGGCAACCAAAATCATCTAAGAAAATACTAGATTAAGATCAGTGGTTCTGTCTTCATGAATTCAAAGTTTAGGTTTTCCAAGGCTGGATGTAGAAAAGTCAAATGGGATTGGCTCAAATGGGACAATTCTTTTCAAAAGTCAAAAGAGTGAAAGGTAGGGGATGCCACAAATTTGAGAAGAACCTCAGTAACTTCCCAAACTATCCTACTGTTGGGCTTTACCTTTTTGAAGTGATGTTTATTTAATGTTAATACTGTCAATTATTATTTAGGACTTACACTAGCATAATACCCAATTATGCAAATAACCTGAAAGATAGGAGGATTTACGTCGTACCGAACGACGACCTCGGAATCCTAAGAAGTATTAGGATTTGCAAAAGCCTAAAAATAGAGTAAGGATTTACTTCGTGTTAGATGAACTACCTCGAAGTCCTATGAATTTGTTATTTAATTCTACAGAAAGTTTTAGTTGAAGATCGCCCGCCGCTTCGTTGTTGTCTCGATTGTTGCTTGAAGGTTGACCATCATTTGATCGCATCATTATCTCGTTTTGCATGTTTAAAATCAAATTTGAACATTCCCTCAACTGGTATTAAGGTGAGTATATAAGAAGATTGGCAAGGTTTGCACACATATGAATCAATTTCTATGTGTTTACATATTTTACTCCTAAACTTTCATATTTACATACTCAGTACCAAAATTTTAATGTCATATAAAATTTAGCACTATTATCAGTTTTTAAGTGAAATACATCTTTATGCATAGGGTGAAAGTATCAAAGTGTTATGTATGTAAATATGCCAAATTTAGGTATAAAATATGTAAGTAATTAAGAATTATGTGCTATTTGTATAAAGCTTTGAATTAAAAAAATGTGTGTATTCTCATACGATCAAATCAATCTAATAGAGATCAAATGGTTGAACTACTTGAAGTGGAGCACTAGAAGGCTTGAATCTTATATTTAAATGCCATGACATTAATATTATGAGATATTTACATAAATATCACACAATACTTATGTATTTGCATGTCTAACAACCAAATTTTTCATATTTAGTTATGCAAACTTCCAATTTATAATGACATTATCAAAATGACTATTATTACTTATTATTATTTTTATTTTTACTATTATTATTTTTTTATTTCAGACGTTAAGTACACCATTTTATGTATAGTTTTATAACACGTAAAATATTATGTATAAATACATAAGAATAATGTGATGTGAATGCTTTGGGGAGTACGAATATAAAAATTAAACTTTAGGTGTTAGACATGTCTATAAGATTTTCTTCAGTACTGAATAATTCGTATAGTTCTTCGTCACTGTCTATTTCTGATAGATCAAAAATAGGTTGGAGATTGTTGGAGATTGGATTGATTTAGGATTGATTTATTAGTGAAATAGATTTTACATTACTTAATTTAGTTTTTTGAGGGCAATTATTTGCATAATGACCTTCCAATAATGCACATAACACCGTCAAATATTATAATCCCAATAAAAGAACCTTTAGAAGAAAAGAAAATAATACAAAAAACAAACAGAAAATATTTGACAGTGTCATGTGCATTATTGGAAGGTCATTATGCAAATAATTGCCCTCAGAAAACTAAATTAAGTAATGTAAAATCTATTTCAATAATAAATCAATCTAATCTCCAACCTATTTTTGATCTATCAGAAATAGACAGTGACGAAGAACTATACGAATTGTCAAATACTGAAGGAAATCTTATAGACATTATTTATTCTGACCATGAAATAGATGAATACTTATATTCTGATTAATGTGAGAAAAACATGAATCTGATATAATTAATGATAATAATATCAAATATGAAAGACATCACATTATCTGAAGAAGCGTATAATAAAATAACAAAAAAGAAAATTATCTCTAGGAACTAAGGACTGCTTTGAAATTCCAATATTTATTTGGAAAAGAAGTATTCATTACATTATTAGACAATGAGAAAATCCTATAGATATAATTAATATTGAAGGTAGAACATGAATTCCTTTGTATAATCAACAAATAAAAAAAACAAGATTTGCAAAATATAAAGAATCCTGAAAAATATAAACGCGTTTTCTTTGGATGAATTCAAATATTAATAAAAGCTTATTTTAGAAAAGGAATAGATAGTCCTATCACAATATGAATTTATGATGACAGAATTATTCATTCTAAAAAAGACGCTTTATTAGGAGTAACACAAGGTAATTTATGTTATCAAACACTTATCTTTAATCTACACCCTAATTATGTTGTAAATATTAATGATAGACATTTAGACAGATCATTGACACTACGTCATAAACTTGATAAAATAAAGCTAAGAGAAGGAAGTGATGTATATAGCATTACATATCAAATTGCCTATGCATATAATAATCAACATAATACTATAGCTTTTAAACCACATAAGGATCCCATACATTTAGATTCACTATTCTCTCATATAGGACAATTAATCCAACCTGAAGAAATAGATGAACTAAAAATAACCCCACCTACTTCAAATCTTCTACTCGACTTTGGTGAAAATTCAAGTGTAGGAAGTAGAAGATATCCGCAATTAGATTATATTGATAATTGGAGCACATTATGTATCCAACCAAGAAGATCACTTGAAATCAATCACCCTAAAAATCTAATAAGAACAAGATCTACCTTTTCACGCCCAAAAGAATATAATAATAATCAATTATTACTATATGGATGTTATATTACTCATGATAACAAATGTACAATTTTACTCGACACTGGTGCACATAAATCACATGTTAACAAAAATCTAATTCCATCAAATTTACATATCCTAAAACAAAACCCTTACATTTATGAAGATTATGTAGGACAAGAATACATTTGTACTCATGAATCTAACATACTCTTTGGATTTTGGGGTATTAATAATCAAAGAATATATTTTCAACATTTATTCTTACTTGATGATAAAAACAACAAAAATACTAATAGGAATGGATTTTTTACAACAACATACATTACATTCAACCATAAAAAAGTTGAAATAGATAATAATACTATACAAAGAATTAATGAAATTTCATAGCTACATTAATGTAGAATTATATATTCCCACATATGAACTTATTCCAATTCACGCCTTATTTGATACTGGTAGCGATATAACCGTGTGCAAAAAATTAATGATTTCATCACATATACAAACACATAAAGAGAATCTCTTAGTAGAAACTTTTAATGGTCTAAGAACCATTAATGAATTTTGGGAAAATCAATTACTTCTAATAGACTCCACAATAATAAAAATTACAAAATTATGGTGTCGAACTGACGTAGTCCCTGATTTAATTTTAGGAAAAAATTTCTTCAAAACCTTCTCATAATTTATACAAAATCACAAAAAAATCACCTTAATAACACCATCAAATAATGAATTACAATGCCCATTATTACATCATTATTAAATTAACAAAAAATGCACATATCGCCTCTTATCTCACAGCCAGCGTGGTGATTATCCATTAGATAAAGATATACAAGCAAAATGCCCTTATTTATTTAATCTAGATTAAAAAAATATAAAATTACAAATCTTGAATTAATAAGACTTTGAGAATTTGCATCATCTCTATTCAAT